GATGATTGTCGTCTTCTTTGATTGCCACGATTTTGGGAGGGAGTAGACTAACTTCCTCACAAGCTTTTCATTTGAAATGATCTCTCCATATGATTTGAGACCATTGACAATCGTTGAAAATCTATCCGTCATAGCTTTGATATCTTCATTTGGTTTCATCCTGAAATTTTCATAGCTATGCGTTAGAATACTAATTTTAGATTTCTTTACCTCATCGGTACCTTCATGAGTGACTTGAAGTTTGTCCCATATTTCTTTGACAGTTGTACACGATGAAACTCTTCCGTATTCATCTGGTCCAAGAGCACAAAAAATGATATGGATGGCTTTGGAGTTGAGCTGAAACATTCTTGTCTCTCCTTCACTCCACAACCTTGGATGAGTGAGAGGTTTGATGTATCCTTCTTCTACGGCATTCCATGCTCCTATGTCACTTGCTTGAATGAAGTACATCATTCTATTCTTCCAATAGGCATAGTTAGCTCCATTGAAGAAATGAGGCTTGTTGACGGGCATCGAATCGAGACCGGAGTCAAAGTTTGAAGCGGAGGCCATTGATGACTTTGATTATCGATATAACTCTTCCCGAATCGACTCAAGAGGCGATTAAACCTTCAAATGAGTTAGGCTCTGATGCTAATTGTTGAGTTAATCGATTGACTGAATCGGGCAAGAGGGTGGTGAATTGGCAATAAAAATTTTGGTTGAAGCTTTTACAGAAAATTAAAAGAAATTACACAGCGACTTAGAGTGGTTCGACTTTATCAACCAAAGTTTACGTCCACTACCTTAGCTATCCACACTAAGGATTTTCCAACAAATTCACTAATTTGTTCTTTCTTTTGAGGCGAAAGAGATAACCTTACAACTCCCTCAAGAATATACCCCAATTCTTGAGAACACTCTTTTCTCAAAGAGAAATACAAATTTGCAAACTTACAAGAAAAACCCCACAAGGAAAATATGTTTGCACAATTCTAGAACAAAGAAATAACACTTAAGAATAAATACAATTGAGCACAATAAGTGTTCTTGAAAGTAAAATGAATATTGAATGAAAAATAGGGTTGAAATGCTCAAACTTGATGTTTGATGCTTTCTCTTTGATTCTCTCTTGATTCTAATTGCTTGATGTTTCTTGTTATTGATCAATGGCTTCTAAGCTTGCTTAAATACACCTTGAATCACTTTTGAACGTTGGGGATGATTAGAGAAGATAATATAGCCGTTTTAGTGTGAAAACAATTAATAAAACAGCTTGAAGCATGGGGGGAATCGGTTCCCTAAGTGTAAAATTCAAATATTTCGACCATTATACAAGGGGGGAATCGGTTCTCTCTGAGCAATCTGTAATTTTTGGCTTTGAAATGGTTCGAAATACTTTGTAAAATTATTTTGAAATTGTTTTAAGATTAAAACTTAATTTTACACTTGAGTATGGATTAAAAATGATTTTTGAAAGATTTGGAGTAATGTTTTGATATTCGAATAGTTATATCGAATATACTTAGAAAATTATTTGGAAAATCTTAAAATTCATTTAACTTAATTTGTTATATCGAAACATCAAAATGTTTTCAACAAACCAATTTAACGGTATCATACCTCCGATAAAATTTTTCGGGACACGTCCTAGACTATCTTGACACAAAGTAGTCCAAGAACCGGAAGCTATCCCCGATATCACATCTCCATCCACCGGAAGCCCCAGGTGCATCCTCAAGCGTGATCGTTCACTCTCCGCACGGAAGATGGAATGTGTGGGTCTCCGGCCTCCACCGCTCTACTACGGCAGAAATCAGATCTGGCTCTATCTTACAGTGACCCTGATATCTACCTATGTAACTGAATCTAGCCTCTACTAAATACGGCAAGACACGGCTGGGTATCACTAACTTAAGATTCCTAATAAAAGGATCTAATACACGGTCATTCTCCTAAAATTAAATAATTACAAAAATTAATTCTTAGTCTAATAATCATGCATTAAATAAATCAACTAATTATTACTAATAATTTAAATTAAATTAAAACGTTAAAATGTTACCGTATCAGCAAAGTGTCGAGATATTTAATTTTTAATCTAATAATCATGCATTAAATAAATCAACTAAATATTACTAATAATTTAAATTAAATTAAAATGTTAAAATGTTACCGTATCAGCAAAGTGTAGAGATATATGATTTCCATCCGAGCGAAGTAGAGTGCCTTCCATTATATATCTGCAAAAGAATTATATTAGTAAAATATTAAATAAAGTAAATACATAATAGTAAAAATATTATAAAATATACCTTAAAAAGATAGAGTATTTGAGAGAAATTTAGAGAATTGAGAGAATTTGGTGTGATAAAAGTGATTGAGGATGGGGGTATTTATAGAGAGGATGAGGATGTGTAGGGTTGGGTATTTAGGGGTATAGCGCGCGCCCTGCACCGCGCTATACCCCACGTGTCAGATACCCAGGTATAGCGTGGATCAGGGGGCGCGCTATACCCACGTGGCGACAGATCACCGTATATCGCGGGGCAGGGGGCGCGCTATACCCACGTGGCGCCAAATCAGCGTATAGCGCGGTTCAGGGGGCGCGCTTTACTGCTACGGGTTTTAGATCGGGAAATATAATCTGACCGGTGTTAGATCGGTAAATATGTCGATCACCGGTGATTTATCGGGAAAATTGCCTAATTTTTTAGTGGTCAAATAATTTTGTATAACGTTTAAAACATTATATTTTATTGTCGCCTCAAATTCTATTAAAAGCTGTTTTTTAGGAGTGAAAGTGAAGAAAGTTGGGTGGTTGTAGGGAAATAATATAAGTGAAAAAAATTGAAAAATGGAGATTGATAAGAATTATTTCGGGATTTAGATAATTTGTTATAGTGCATATGAAACTTATTATGGGGAGGTGACAAGTTTAGAATTGGTTACGTGGAGGTGATAAGTTTCATATAACTTTGATCTATTTTATACTGTGAGTTTTTTTTAATATATTTTATGAAATTCGCCACTATCATGTGACAAGTTTCATGTGTTCTGTAACAAATGATCCATTTCTTAAAATAAATTCTGAAAATAAATTTGAAGGTGTCATATTTTACTAATTGATTATTTCACATGCATTATTTGTCTCTAGTCTTATTAAATGCTAAAATAATTTGAAGGTGTCATATTACTAATGATTATTCACATGCATATTTGTCTCTAGTCTTATTAAAATGCTAAAATATTCAAATTTACATGTAGTATTTTTTAATAGAATCCGTTAATCTTATTAAAGTGCTAAAAAATTTAAATTTATAATAGATTTTACAACTAAAATTGTCAACTAAATACATAATTTGAATATTTTCCTATAATATTGAAACAAAAAAATAGTCATTTTAGATCATACAAGGATTATACATGAAAATAAAAACTCAACCAAAAGACTCTAATGATAAATAGATATGAACAAAATCTAATATATACAAACGAAACACGAAAAATATTAAGTTATTGAAATACCACAAAGAATCGCAAATCAAAGTCAAACGTTGTGACAAACTATTCACGAATACAAAATTGAGTATCTAAATTAAATCTGGTTGCCCAAAGCGGGAAAAATCAACAGAATTATAAATAAACATCATCTCGGTCAATTGTGAAATCGTCAAAACTAACCCTACGAAATATAAAATAAAAAAACCAAACAAGCGAAGAATATGAAAAAAATATACCACAAGATATACGTATCTATTAAAAACTAAAAAAACAAAGAAAAAAAATAGAAACAACGATCGACAATTAATATCAAATTGATGTCTTCGTCGACCAAACAAAACTAAAGAATTTTTTTGATTAATCTATAGAGAGGGTCGCAAATTCTTAGAAGAAAAACGAGACACTAATCTAAGAAAATTAGGCGGCGTTTGGTTCGCTGGAATGTTTCTGAGGGAATTGAAATTTGTGAAGGAATTGAAATCCAATTCCATATTCTGTTTGGTTGACAGGAAATTGAATTGGAATCCAATTCCATATTGTTTGGTTCGCAGACATATCAGATGAATTTGATTTCATTATGTAAAGACAGGATTTATTAGATCGGTTTTTGGTCCACCCGACCCAACTCGAGACAAGGGAGCCTCCATCCGAGACCCGACCTAACCAAAATAAAATTTCACTCGACCCGACCCGAATAATAAAAAATTATTTTATTCAATAAAACAGTGATTTAATTGAAAATATATATAGAGGTATTATTGTAATTATTCTTAATATAAGGTAAATATATTTTTTTGTTTGGTTCGGGTATTTTTCACCCTAAACCTGTACTCGACCCAAATATCACACTTAAAAAAACCAACTCGACACGACCAAAATAAAGTTTCACCGATCTGACCCGAATATATGAATTAGAAATCTGACCCGACCCGAAATAATAATAAAAATATTTTTATTCAATAAAAACAATGACTTAATTGAAAAAAAATTATATATAGAGGGGTTATTATATTCTAAATATATAAGGTAAAATTATATATATTTTCGGGTCGGGTATTTTTCACCCTAAACCCGAACACGACCCGACCCGAATATCACATTTAAAAAAACCAACACGACCCGACCATAATATATTAATTAGAAACCCGACCCGAAATAATAAAAGATATTTTTATTCAATATATAAGTAAATTATCAAAAGATTAATGAGGGTACTATGATCAAATTTCAATTCCCTCTAACACGAGAATTGAATTCCATCATAGAATAGATGAAATTCATTTTTCCTTATTTAATGAAAAATTGAAGCAGTGAAAGATTCCAATTTCCTTACATGAAAAATTGATGAAATTAAATTTTAATTCCCCTAATTCTAAGGGATTAATGCCAACCAAACGCCATCTTAGAAAAGACGACAGAAAAAACCTAAAAACAATAAATAACGAGTTATTGAACATACTTTAACTGGTAACATTAAATAATACATAATATATTTATTATTGATATAAGGTGATTACAATTAATAATATATTTTAAATACTAGCAATAACATTAATAATTTATATGCGAGGGCAATCCATAATCCTAATGTTACTTTTACCGAAAACCATAGTCATAAGCTACAAGATCTCTACGTTGTGAACACATGTCAAGGGCCTGAAATTGATTCTACCATCTTCCGACCGTACACGTGTCTTTGATTATAGCTACGTAGGCCCCATCACACTCACCTTCCCCTCGCCTATAGTTCTCCCAGGTTTACCTTCAGCACAGGTTGCCCATGATCACCAAAACCTTCCACGTGTACCCAATGATGACCTAACCGGGCAGACCCAACCCGGAATTATTATCGAACTAACAACGTTCATACACGTGTCGGGCATGATAGTGACAGATGAGGAACTACTTCGGCCCACCCAAATAATTCGGAGGCCCACCTTTACCCACCCCATTACCCATCTGATGGAACGCAGTAGAACCATACTGATGTGCCATCATCCCATAAACTCCGCCACCGACGCCTCCGCCTCCACCAGCACCGAGAGGCGCGTCTTTTTCACGTGCAACCGTAGTCTTCTCCCCTTCCATCTCCCTAAACCGCTGCAAGTAAACCTTCAAGGGCTCCACGTAGTCTTCGAACCCTAACGTGGTCATGGCCCACAAGAGATCGTCGCCGTTGATGGTCTTCCTCTTCTCCTTCTGACACTTATCGGAGGCTTCTCCGGTGATGAAGCTGATGAACTCCGACACGCACTCTTGCACCGTTTCTTTAGCTTCTTTGGATATCTTGGCGTTGGCGGGCAAAGCCTTCTTCATGATCCTGCCAACGTTGGCGATGGGCAGGAACCTGTCTTGTTCTTTGGGGAAAGAAAGGTGGTCGCTGCTGTTGTTGTTCCCTCCTGCGTTTGAACCGTTGTTTTGAGCTCCTCCCGATTCAGTGTCTGAATCCGCCATGGCCGGACAACTCTTTGGATGCTGAGAATATATGTACGTATACAAGAACTAGGGCTTCAGTTTTTTTTTTGGTTAGTTTATGGTGTAGGGTTTTTGGATGGGAAGAAAGAGAGTGGTTTTGGTGTTGACTTAAGTGAAGGTTTGTTCTAATGGAAAATTGAGGAGAGGACTAAACTGAGAAAATAAGTTATTTCAGCTCTTCACTTTTTCTTTGAATGAACGCTTAGTACTTTGATATATATATATATCATACAAAATAATATGCTAGTAAAAAGTTTGACCAATAAAAGAAATTTAACGAAATGCAAACTAAATTATTTATAAATTAGGAATAAACATTGCGAGTCATCTAACTTCCAAGTTAATTAATCAAGAAAAGAAACTTTCAAGTTAATAGATCTAATAAGTATTTGAATTCAAAAGTTAGAGACAAAATTTGATAAACATTCAAATTATCAATGACCTAAAATGTATTATACCAAAACATTAGAGAGATTAAAGGCCATCAAGGCATCAAGTTGTCACTATCATATTTCATGTTTAAAATATTTATTTTATTTTACATAAAAATAGGTAAACTACATATTTAGTCATCTAACCATCACTTTGATTTTGTTTTGATCAACTAATTATTTTTTTAAATCGTATCTACCGTTATATTTTGACCCACCATTAAAAAAATAAATAAAATTACTGATGTGACCATTTTTATTTTTTTCAATAATGACATGTCATTACCTCATAATGATCAAACAATTTCAGTGGTTAATGGGATAGCTGTTATTTCTAGAGGCTTTGGGTTCGAACAAATTGTCTGTAGGGAAGTTTAAGCGTTTATTGTTAAATGATTAAGATTTTTTCAAACAAATATTATCTTGTATTCACACATTAATGAAAAAAAATATCCATGATTTTTCAAAACATTCTAATTTCAATTATATAGCAGTTGAAAAATAAATATCCAACTAAAATAGGAAATATATAAATTTCATAAGGACTTGTGACATGCCAGTTAAGATAAAGTATAAAAATGGTCCCCTGACTATAGAACATTATTTTATTAAGTCTTTTAACTATTAAAAGTTATAAAATGTTTCTCTGATTATGGGGTGTTATTTTGTTAAGTCTCTTGACTATTAAAAGCTATAAAATTGTTTCCAAGTATAAGATGTTGTTTTGTTGAGTCCTCTGACTATAATATGTTGTTTTTTTTAGTCTTTCGACTATTAAAAGTTATAAAATGATCACTTGACTATTGATATATTCCAAAATCATCCTTTTCCTATAAAAATGATGCTTATATGAGTTTTATGTTAATATGCTGAGTGAGATATGATAAATCATATTTTAATGATCTCTATTGGCACTGTCATTGCTATGAAGCACTAACTCACCAACATAATGTTCAAGCACTAGCTCAACAACATAATTTAAACATAGATTCGATCCATAAAATACAACTAAAACATTCTCGAGGTCAAATTTTATCATATCCCAATCAATAAGTTAACCTCCATCTCATATGATCGCTAATTTTTTTAACAAAAAATGATAAATTTAGAACATATGAATAATCAAATGATCATTTTGTAACTTTTAATAATTAAATGACTCAAAAAAATCTTATAATAAAATGATCATTTTAAAACTTTTACTAATAAAGAAACTCAACAAACTAATACCATACACTTGAGAGACACTTTACCCTACTAGTTAATGAATGTTATTACTTAAATATCTCGTGTTTTTATTAGTATAAATAATATAAATGTAGGTAATATGAACGTGGTTAGCACTGGGCCGTTCTTTTCCGATAAGGGTGTCTTTCGCACAGATGAAATACAAGCCGTTAGATAATTTTTCAGAATTCGTTTTGAGCCGTTGATTCTGTGTCTCGCACGTGATCGGCGTGGACTTTTCCTTTTCAATCAATACACCTAACAACAATAATGTCCAAGATATTTTTGGCGTTTTGAGTGATTAGGCATGTAATAAGGATAATTAAAATACTACTACTATTTTTGGTTCTTTCCTCGTATTTAATTATTTCAAAATCTTAATTTTAAATTCAAGTTGCTACATAAAAATTGTTATGTTTTTTGAAATTTTAAATTTAAATAGTTATATTTATAAGTCGTATTATCAATTAATTAAAAAAATCTAAACATACATTATAATCATCCTAAATTATTTTAAAAATAAAAGTATTCATTCAATACATATAAAACATTAAATTATATTTACCTTTCCATCTCTTATCTCTTTCATTTTTCTCATTATTATTATTATTATTGTTATTATTATTATTATCTTTTCTTATTCAAAAATCACCATTAAAAACTCTAGACGTCTCTCTCTTTTTTCAATTTAATTTTCTTTCAATATTGTTGTGTCGTCTTTTTTTCTTTAATTTTTTATTTAAATGCCGACGATATTAATTTTAATATTGGTTGTCGACTGTCGGTGACTAATAATTCTCTTATTTTTTATATTATGTCTTTTTTATTGAATCTTTTTAATTTTGAATAAGAATATATGTCTTTGTGGCACACGTTTTCTCTGGTCTTGTAGCACGTGTTTTCTTTGGTCTTGTGGCACGAACCTTATGATTTTTGGTACGTTTTTCGCATACTTTTGTGATTGTTTTGGTACTCGCATAAAAACCATTACGACATTTATTTTCTAATTGGTTTGTCGGTGGTCACTTATAGTCAAATCCCCTCTTTGGTAAAAGCCTTTTTGCCGATTTAATCAGAATTATGTAACGAAGCAGCCTGTCAGATTTGTTTGGTTAGCTCACTACTCCTTTATCACTTCGCAAAACCTCCAACTCGATAGAGACAATGAGTTTTTATGAAGGTTATTGGATTTTGATGTTGGTTGTCATTTTTCAATACAAGATTTTGTTTCTATTCGTATCTTTAGGTTTAATACTTTATTTTTATATGAGTATTTTGATGATTATTATCTCCAATTTTCTCTCTATATTTTGTTGCGTAATAATTTTGATTTCTCCCCTTATAAATAAAATCTAGTTGTCATTGTTAAAAATAAAAATTCAAATAATGAACTTGACTTTTTGGTTGGTGTTTCTATATCCAACCCTACATATCCTGGGTTTATTGCCTTGTGTTCCCTTCGATTTATTTATTTATTTTTCTTTAATAAGCTGATTCAGATGATGACACATGTTATTCTAATTGAATAGTTAAATTAAATTAAATTAAATTAAATAGACAAAATATTTAAGTAAAGAAAAATGAATTTTTAATAACTTGAGATGATTTTAATGTATATTTTTATAATTTTTTAATTAATTGATAATGTTTATACACTGCAAATAATTGTTTTAATCCAAGATTCTTAGAGAGAACAACATTCCCTTTTATCATTAGAATCACTTGATAGGTTTTAATGCAACTTATTTTAAATCGAATTATTTCGTTTTAATTTTTTAATTAGACTACTGAAATTAACTTTATACAATCATACAAGAGTTAAGTATCTTTTTTTACTCAGTTTATTTGCTTAATACGAGAGAAAAAGACAAGAACATTGACATGAGACAGAAGTACTTATGTGTTGGCCTCTCATTGAAAATAGTGTGTATAAATTATTGCATAAATTTCCAGTATGTAGCTTTCAACTATTTGAAGAAAGCAATTACAAAATGTATTGATGGATGTTAGATTTTGTTACACCGTGTAACAATATATATTTATAAAAATTATTTTAACAAATAATTATAGCAAAAATACCCTTAAATACTATTAAAGATAAATTATGTTTTTGTCACTTAATTTTTGTTTTATTTCCATTTTGGTCATTTAGTTTTAAAAAAATTATCATTGCTCTCAAATTTGTGTTTCTTTTGTTAAGTGTACAACGTCGTTAAATTTTCTGAGATAAATTTATATAAACAGCCTCATCAACTTTTCTCTCAAACCTATATTTTTAGGCTCCATTTGATTCACAAACACCAAAGTATTTTCTTTCGAATCCAAATGGTAGGAAAGTCAAACATAGAAGAAAGAATAGAGAAAGGAAACTGTTATGGTACCCCGTCACGTTGCAGATGAGGATCGGCGACAGTCGAATTAACGACGATGAAGGATGCTAGTTCGAGAAAGAAAAATAGTAAAATATCAAGTAAAATACGATATTTTATTATTGTTGTTACACAACTAACGATTGTATTCCCTAACATTTATCACCGTTAATAAGAAATATCATTTTATACTTTTCAACTAAATAACTATAAAAATAACTGGTAACATCAATATATTTACCCTAAGGTGGCGTTTGGTTCGCTAGAATGTTTTTGAGGAAATTGAAATCTGTGAATGATTTGAAATCTGAAGGAATTGAAATCTGAATCTGAAACCTGTTTGGTTGGCAGGAAATTGAATTGGAATCTAATTCCATATTCTGTTTGGTTCGCAAACATGTCAGATGAATTTGATTTCAGTAATGTAAAATGACAGAATTGCCCTTCTTATTTTTTTTGCTTAATTTTAGTTTGTTTTATAACTTACACGTAACAATATATTATAAAAAATTAAAAAAATATTAAATTTTCATTTTATTGATTGATTATTCATTTCAATAAATTATAAAAATCATACTAATAAACATCATAAGTTAAAATCATCCCAATTAGGGATGACCATGGGTCGGGTTGGGTTTTTGGTCCACCCGACCTGACCCGAGAACAAGGGAACCTCTACCCGAGACCCGACCCAACCAAAATAAAGTTTCACCCGACCCAACCCGAATATATGAATTAGAAACCCGACCCGACCCGAAATAATAAAAAATTATTTTTATTCAATAAAAACAGTGACTTAATTGAAAAAAATTATATATATATGGGTATTATTGTAATTATTTCTAAATATATAAGGTAAAATTATATATATTTTTTGGGTCGGGTATTTTTCACCCTAAACCTGAACCTAACTCGATCCTGGTTTTTTTTAAAAAAAATCCGACCCTAATACCAAAAGATTGATGAGGGTAGTATGGTCAAATTTCATATTCTCTCCCTCTAAAGGATTTCAATTCCTTCATGTTATGGATGAAATTTACTTTCACTCCCTTGATCGAATTGGATTCCAATTCCCCATTTAAAAACTTGAATCAAACATAAGTAAGTGATGGAATTGAATTCCAATTCCAATTCTAAGGGATTCCAGTGACATTTCCATTTCCATGAGAGAAAGGCCCCGACAGCAATAATTCCACATGCAATATAAAAATCAAAATGTTGGCTTCCTTTCTGCATTGCGTGTGCCAAAAAGATAACACATGCTCTAAAAAGCATTAAACTTCATCATAAGAAAGGCTAATTCATAGCCAAAAAAGTAGAGAATTGAGTCTATGATATTTGATCATAACAAATATATAAAAAAAAAAACTAACTCTTAGTATCAAAATACTGAACTCAAAGTTTGGAAATCTAATGATTTTAAGCTTCAATTTCAAATGCTGGACATTTGATAGAACCCATTGAAATGTCAATTTCAATTAGATTTTCTTCCTCGTTTATTTCTGCCAACAGTTCCACAAGGTGTTGCTCCTGGAAAATAGGTTCTTGCAAGAAAGTCTGCGGATTGGACTGCACATTTTGTTTTGGTTCTTCATTCAAACCAGTGGTTTCATTGCCTGGAAATGGAATAGCAATTTCAATGAGACCTTCTTCTTCATCATCATCATCATCTTCTGAGTTTGAATATTCATCTGAGACTTCAGGGTTTTGCTCCACAACACCTAAAACCACCCAGTTCAGCTCACCATCTTCACTCCGCCATGAATCCTCACTGCTTTCACCATCATCAGCTCCTGGGGCAGCATCTGAAACAGTAACATTATTCATCAGCACCGGCTGTATTACTTCTTCTTCTTCGAGTACCACCATTGTTTTCCGGGATAATTTGAACATGAAACTTGTTGTTAAGATCAAGACTGTTGTCGTGAGAAGGATGGCATGGAACCCCAGGCCAAGGAAACTAGTCAAAACAATTGAAGGGGCAAGGATTGAAACGCAGAGTAAGTAGGGTTTGAAGAGACGAAATGGAGGACATATTTGATACTCGGTTGTTGTTTCCATCATGTTCAGATGGATAGATAGATAGATAGATGTAACAAATATTTGGCTACTTTTTTTTATTTTCATAAAAGGAGATTTCAGGGTTACCAGAACGGAGGAATTTGCTAGAAATGATGATATGTTGGTAGCCTTTATTTCCCTCTTGGACCAGCACTGCTTGAAAAATCATGAAGGAAACAGGTCACCCTTGTGTGTTCCTTAAAACTCAAGTGCCTATGTTCTTTTCTGAAAGCGATCTGATTGTGAGAAAAAGGCTAAAATACACAAATGGTCACTGATCTATGCTGAACTGCTCTTTCTGGTCATTGCAATTTTAAAAGTTATAAGATGATCATTAAACTCATCAACCTGTTACAAAATGGGTATTACATGTTATCAAATAGTGATAAATTTTGATAATTTTAAGTATCATTTTGTGACAATTCGATAAATTTAATAATCATTTTATAACAATTTGAATAGTTTAATGATCATTTTGTAATCCGTTTGAGAAGAAATTTAATGTCTATTTTATAATTTTTGAAACTTTGGTAATCAAAGAGGTTAATTCAATATTTTTTAAAGTAAAGGGGGCAAATCATTAATCTCTTTTCCCATTAACATCAACAAGGTTTGGAATTGCAAGCCATGTGCAACACAATGTTTAGCCACATGGTACCATACAATTCTTAAAAACTAAAGGCTTTGGAGCCAAAAAAAAAAGGAGAAAGGTTTAATTGGGGCCAAAATAATAATTGAAGTATCCAAGTGAAAAATATGTATAGTTTAGGAGCTAAATCACAAATTGAGGGAAAAGAAACCAGCTGAAAGGAGAGAGGCATCATGTCCTTTTCAGAAGGAAGTGGAGGGCAGTAGGGGTGTGCAAATATGGGTACCCGGATTTTTGGGTACCTGAAATTTTTGGGTTGACGATTTTTCGGCCCGTGTTTCGACCCGGATATTATGGGTACCCAGTAATTGGGAATTCGAATTTTGCGGGTACCCGATACCGATTTTTAATTTTTTAATTTTAAATTATTAATTTAAAAAAATATATACATAAATTTAAATATTCGAAACTTCGAATTACATACTCTAATATCCGAACATAAAATTTAAAAGTTCAAAATACAAAATATAATAATCCATAATATAAATAATTTATTATATTTTATATAATTATATATATATATATATATAAATAACCGGATACCCGGTTATCCGGGTACCTGGAAAAACTAGATTTCGTGACCCGGGCCCGACCCGGGAAATGTCGGGCCGGGTACCCAACCCGGCCGGGTAATTTTTTTTAGAGAATTACCCGGTTTTTTTAGATCCTGGTCGGCGGGTCGGGTCAACCGGGTCGGGTAATTTTGCACACCAGCAATAATCAAATCCAAGCACAATAATAAGTAATAGGGTAAACTACACAATTAGTCACTGAGCTTTTAGGCTATATTCACTTTGGTCATAAAAAAAATTGCATTGGAGTCCTTATTGTGACACATTAAAACCCTTAAAAGCGTAAAAATCATTGTTCTTCTTTCTCCATTGTCCTTTGATGGTTTCACCAATCGAAAAGATCATCAAACTACTTCTCTTCTTCTTTTCTCTATTTTCTTCGGTTCAAACTCATTAAAAAATCTTCTAATCTACTCAATTCCAATTGAAACTAAAAACTAATTTTTTTTGGTCCATCATTGTCAATTGCTTAATCAATTTGATATTGAGCTATGTTAATCTTATATCCAAACAAAGTCTTTTAAACATTGTGATTAATCGATGACAACTCTTTTCATTGAAAATTTAGTGCTTTCAACATATATCAATTTGAATCTTAAGATTTGTTTTGAGAAGATGTCATGTCAACTAATGATAATGACCATAACTAATGTGAATTAAAAGTTTAGTGTATGTAATGCAAAATTTAAAAGTTTAGTTGCTAGAATAAAAGTTCTCTAAAAGCTAAGTGACCATCAGTGTAGTTTATCCTAAATAATAATGTCAGTTGTGCACCGATTTTAATTTGTGGAATAAAAATCCAACGAGATGCAATTAGGGATGGGCACAGTATCCAAACTAGACAGTATAATTCGATCTGATTCGATTTGATTATGTTAAATTTTTTTAAAAAAAATCGAATACGGATCAAGTTAAGTCGAATTTTTTTAGAAGGTATGTTAAGGTTGGGTCGGATTCGAGTTTAGACTTTAGAGTAAAAATATCATACCCAAAAATATTATTTTTACTATATATATGTAGTGATAATTACAATAATATCTATATATATAATATTATTATTAATTCAAACCATATTTTTATTAAATAAAAATAATATTTTTTAATAAATATATTATTTCATATCATATCATATCACATATTAAAGAATTTTTGGGTCGAATCAATTGATCAAAACCGGATTTGTACACATCCCTAGATGCATTGGTGTTACATGTTAGTCCATCGCGTGCTGTCGCAAGCCTTTAATGGAAGAAAAGATGGCTTGTTTTGGTTGGAGCCCGTTACATCTCTGTATATCACTCGTTCAGGATCGGATACGAGATTTTATATTATGAAAAATGAATATTTAAAATTTAAAAAGAAGTAAGTTTGTAGAATTTAAAGAAAGAAAAAATAGATTATAACTAAAAATATAAAAATAATATTTAAAATATATGACAATTTTAAAATTTTATGATTTTTGATCCATCTCTATGCAATATTTGAGATGAAACTGATTACAAATTATTCGAGTTTAATTCGATTATAATTTGGTCAATATTTGAATCGAATGAATTCGAATCAATTTTTAACGAACTAAAATAAGTTACTTGATATCTGACTCGAAAATCTCTTAAACAAAAAAAAATTATTTTTTATTTTTTAAATTAGATTATTAATAATATTAATATTTATATATTTTTAAAATATAATATTGAGTTTGAGTTTGAACTTGAGCTTGAATTAAACTTTAATTTTTAATCTTGAGTGTAAATTAAATTTAATAATTTTATGCTCATAAATTTTTGAACTAAATAAAATAAAATATTAATTTTTTAAATTGAATCGAATTCGATAATATTCGCATTACGTTGATGATTATCATCATCATTCACCGGCGCCCCCAATCATACATCTTCTGATAACTGACACCGTCACAACTGCGGTAAAACCCGTCATCTTGCACCTTCCAATTCACCGGCCTCTGTTTAAGAAGACGGCAAACTTTGCTCCCGTAGCTATAATCATTGGGCCCGTAAATATCGAACGCCTTGGTTTTAGCGCCGCTCATGAAAACGCAATTAAAAACCGTTTTGTGCCAGAAGCTGGGGGGTGAAATGGAACTGGAACTCGCCGCCTTTCCCGGTGATGTGCTCTTTAAGATCGTGGGTTCGACCTCACGTGCACCGTCAGCGGCGGAGCCTTCTTGGACATCCGGTTGAGAATGTGGATGTGATATACCCTTTCCCAGTGGTAATACCCTGTTAAGCCAGTAGGAGCATCGTCATTAGGGTCACAAAGCTGACTCTTCCAACTTTCGACATTATTAGGTATTGTATTGTATTGTATTATTTATTTATTATTATTCAAGTTTATTGATTGTTTATGGGCAAAACTTTGTTTAATTTATATGATTAGATGTGTCCTGAAATAGAAGATCTTCCCTTTGATTGTGTATGGACATTATTAGGTACCATTGGCATTTGGTTGGCACCGCTTAGAGATTTATCTCATAAAATTGTCTTACACAGTTATCTCATAATATATGTAATGTTTTAACTTAAATTATAATTGGGGTTAAATTGAATTTTATTTATAATTCTAGTGATTAAATATTATTTGATAATTAAATTTATTTAACAAAATAAATCAACGAAATCGTTCGTTCCCCCCCCCCTCCAATATCGTCCTTAACGAATAAAAGCTTATGGTTCCAATTGTCAAGTAGACACCGAAGTATATGCCAAGCCATTTAAGATCAGGGATCTCAGACCCAAGAGTATCCGGAGGGGCACATTTTGCAGCGACCGAAGTAGTTTTGCAGCCCCGAAAGCTTCTTTCCTCGGGAGCATGTTCATCATTTGTTAACTTGGCTTGCTTTGCATTGTTCGAAGTCATTGAATCGATCGAATCGAAGGGATCCAGCACTAAGATTACCTGCGAGAAGCATTACAACGTAGAACTTCAGTGTTAAGAGAACTAAAATACATCTATCGAAACTAACCTGGTATTAAGCTCAGGTTCTTCAGTAACAAGCTCGGAAAGAGAGCCTCGGAAAATTCAACGGAGACGGAAGCGACTTACAGCAGAAAGCAAGTTTGCAATCCAATGTAAAGCGCTTAGAATTTATTGAAAAACTAGATTGAGCTTTAATGTTGAACAAACATAGAATGCTTTCTCTGTTAATTCCAGTGATGGTGTACATGATTTTATAATAGCTAACAGAAGCTTAGCACAATTCTAGAAGCTCTGTATCTGCCTCAACTAAACACTAACTGCTCTTAACTAACTCTAGTTATTTAGTTCTAATATTCCCTCTACTTTCTCCTCCTCCTTCAACAAGGTAACATACACATCTTAGCCCTGAACAATTGAAAAGATGAACAATTGAATCGAAAGTGCTGATGCTTCCTTCCGTTCACTTGAATCGAAAGTGCCGATGCTTCCTTTCGTTCTTCTTGAATCAAAAGTGCCGATGCTTCCTTCCGTTCACTTTGAATCGAAAGTACTGATGCTTCCTTTCGTTCTTCTTATTCACCTTCATTTCTTTCTTTTTCACCCTCTTTTACAAGGTTCCTTGACACATTTTTTTATGGACTCTTGACTCTGAAGCTTTCAAGTCCCCTAACACTTTGAGATAGAAGCAACAAAATGAATACAAAATTAAACTTCTATTTACACACACAAAAGGATTATACTACTATGCAAAAATAGCTGCAGTGTGGTACTCTCCACATGACACCTGGGCAATTTTCACAAGCTCAGGAGCCTCATCAAGGAATTTTGCACCTGCATTTTTCACACAAGCCCCCTGTAATCCTTCGGAAGTGACGTCTCTGCCTAGCTGACCATACTCATTATAGCACCCCACGTGAATAATGACCCATCGGAGGCCACCGCCGCAAGCAGTATCCAACCAGTGGGGATTTGTCCCCGCCGGACACCCAAAAAACTTCTCCAAGAACCCAACGGAATTCGCTGGACAGTGGTCGAGCACGGCGTTCTGCCTTTAGCTCCGAAAGTGCAAGATAGAAAGCCGACATTTCGGTATCGGTCAAGTCACGACAAGTTCGGAGCTTAAGGAGAGTCAAGTTCTGGCAGCGCTCCGAGATTAGAACAAGCGCTTCATCCCGATGCTAACAGAATTACGGATATATTTCAGGGCCAGTTTCGTGACAGCATCAAAGCGAGAGAAGATGGAAGGAATCAAATGTTGCAGATCTGACTGGGCGTTGAGGGAAAGTCGATGACGGCTCTGTCCTTCAGTCTTCAACCACCGCCGGCAAACAAGAGAGCAGTGTTTCCGGTCATCGGGGCTAAGAAACTGGAAAATGCAAGCCAAACACTCGTCGGGCAGAACTGAGATGAAATCAGATAATCCATCCATACTACTTCGGTCAAGCTCTTCAGCTTCCTCAGATTGCATCGGAGAGAAAACAACAACAACAAACGCAAGCAGAAAAGATGGCCGCAGGATCATCGGCGAATGATACCATATTGAAAAACTAGATTGAGCTTTAATGTTGAACAAACATAGAATGCTTTCTCTGTTAATTCCAGTGATGGTGTACATGATTTTATAATAGCTAACAGAAGCTTAGCACAATTCTAGAAGCTCTGTATCTGCCTCAACTAAACACTAACTGCTCTTAACTAACTCTAGTTATTTAGTTCTAATATTCCCTCTACTTTCTCCTCCTCCTTCAACAAGGTAACATACACATCTTAGCCCTGAACAATTGAAAAGATGAACAATTGAATCGAAAGTGCTGATGCTTCCTTCCGTTCACTTGAATCGAAAGTGCCGATGCTTCCTTTCGTTCTTCTTGAATCAAAAGTGCCGATGCTTCCTTCCGTTCACTTTGAATCGAAAGTACTGATGCTTCCTTTCGTTCTTCTTATTCACCTTCATTTCTTTCTTTTTCACCCTCTTTTACAAGGTTCCTTGACACATTTTTTTATGGACTCTTGACTCTGAAGCTTTCAAGTCCCCTAACACTTTGAGATAGAAGCAACAAAATGAATACAAAATTAAACTTCTATTTACACACACAAAAGGATTATACTACTATGCAAAAATAGCTGCAGTGTGGTACTCTCCACATGACACCTGGGCAATTTTCACAAGCTCAGGAGCCTCATCAAGGAATTTTGCACCTGCATTTTTCACATAAGCCCCCTGTAATCCTTCGGAAGTGACGTCTCTGCCTAGCTGACCATACTCATTATAGCACCCCACGTGAATAATGACCCATCGGAGGCCACCGCCGCAAGCAGTATCCAACCAGTGGGGATTTGTCCCCGCCGGACACCCAAAAAACTTCTCCAAGAACCCAACGGAATTCGCTGGACAGTGGTCGAGCACGGCGTTCATGCCTTTAGCTCCGAAAGTGCAAGATAGAAAGCCGACATTTCGGTATCGGTCAAGTCACGACAAGTTCGGAGCTTAAGGAGAGTCAAGTTCTGGCAGCGCTCCGAGATTAGAACAAGCGCTTCATCCCCGATGCTAACAGAATTACGGATATATTTCAGGGCCAGTTTCGTGACAGCATCAAAGCGAGAGAAGATGGAAGGAATCAAATGTTGCAGATCTGACTGGGCGTTGAGGGAAAGTCGATGACGGCTCTGTCCTTCAGTCTTCAACCACCGCCGGTAAACAAGAGAGCAGTGTTTCCGGTCATCGGGGCTAAGAAACTGGAAAATGCAAGCCAAACACTCGTCGGGCAGAACTGAGATGAAATCAGATAATCCATCCATACTACTTCGGTCAAGCTCTTCAGCTTCCTCAGATTGCATCGGAGAGAAAACAACAACAACAAACGCAAGCGGAAAAGATGGCCGCAGGATCATCGGCGAATGATACCATATTGAAAAACTAGATTGAGCTTTAATGTTGAACAAACATAGAATGCTTTCTCTGTTAATTCCAGTGATGGTGTACATGATTTTATAATAGCTAACAGAAGCTTGGCACAATTCTAGAAGCTCTGTATCTGCCTCAACTGAACACTAACTGCTCTTAACTAACTCTAGTTATTTAGTTCTAATAGAATTTGAGGGAACTTTGGAGCCAAATGCATTGGAAAGTTCCTAGAAGATTCATGCTGATGTCGTTTTCTGTTTTCGGTATGTGCATAGGATTATGGGAAATTTCGTATGCACATCCAAAATGAGAAATTTCAATATTCCATGCCATGTTAAGAACGCAAGTCCAAAATGAGAAATTTCAATACTTGATGAGTGTCTCTCAAATGCTGGACTTGTGTTCATGAAGTCAAATCTGAAGATCTAAACATGACATCATATACATTCGAGAGCACGAAATAGCTTGCCATTGAAGTTTGAAAATGTAACTCCTCAAATCTCAAGTTAATAATTTTGGATTAATCCGAGTGTGTTTAAATAAATCCATTGCATTTTAATAAGTTTGGGACCAATAGTTGATAAAAAAATATTTTAAGTTGTAATCAAAACTAGGAGGACCAAGCGAACATTTTCACCACTTTTAATTTCAAAGGTTGAATATCCATTAAGGGTGATTATCTCACGTTTGCACCCCTCCTTAATGTCTCATTTTCACCATTGTTTTTGTCTTATTCTCCATTTCAAAGCCTCTCCACCTCCCTTAGCATTTCAAGAGAGTTCTTAATCTCTTCTTTCTAAGTTTCATTTCAAGTCTTCCATTCAAGTTTTGGTTAAGATAGCCATGAGTGGGTTTTAGTGAGATTTAAGGATTCTTAGTAAATCAGCCCATTTTGGTGGATTTAAGTCTTAGGAAGTGTTCTTAAATTTTTTTAACCTCTAAATCAAACTAGTAACTCAAGTGTTTGATTCTTACCTAGTGAAAGAAGTTGAAAAAAACCCCAAGGTCAAAGGGAAGGAGAAATTAGTACTTGGTTGAACCTTGGGTGTTCCAGCACCTTAGAAATTGAAGGTAACTCACTTCAAACTCAACTCCAGTACAATGTAGATAACTAGGTGTGTTTTTTAGCTTGCATGAGTCGTGAAGCATGTTCATGGTAGATTTCAGTAATTGGTTTTTTAAATATGTTTATGGACCTATTATGACTCCTATTATCATACATAAAAATCTAATAATGTTTAGGAACCTTAGTAGGACTCTTGGGTGAGTTAGAGGGTCATTTTTATGCCCTAAGCAGGACATTTCTGGGCTAGGGTATCAATATTAGAGTAAAAATACCGATATTGTTCATCAGACGTTTAAAATAAGGAGATTTGGGGCTAGAAGTATCGATACTCATACATTAGGTATATATATTGTAGGTAATGTTTCGATACTCATACATTAGGTATCGATACTGAGTTCACTTTACAGATTCCAATAGCTATTTTTGATATTAGTACTCATGAAGATATCAATATCGGGTTAGAGTACCGATACTCCCAATAGGAGTATCAATATTGAGGTATTTTCTAAAACATTGAAGCCAAATTTGGTATCGATATTTAGGATAGTATCGATACCACATACTGAAAGTATCGGTACTCAAACTAGAATATGAATATTACCCATTTTGTCTCAGTTCCCAATAAGCAGTCGATATCGATACCTAGAAGTTAGTATTGATACTCAAGAGTCAATATCGATAGTATCAGTATCCACGAACAATTTTAGATAAGAAACCCATGGGTTTTAAGGGATAGTTCTAAGGGACCCAATAATACTCAAAATGTCATCAAATAAAACTACAAGTGAGAACAATAATAAACGCATAACAGTTAGAAACAATAACAACTATCACATAAAACTAACATTGTTTGATGCTCGAGAAACAGCCAGGACACCCGAGTTACTTTAGCAAATAACGACTGTACGATTCAGATATATCCCAATCACTGTCAAGACACTTAAGTTGCCAGCTAGGCATAGATGCCCTAAGACTCGACGGAGTAAATTGGCCGGGTGGAGATTCTTAGGAGACTGTCTGTGGAGCGTTATCTTCATAAGATATTCTAGATTAACTGAGACTTTAGAGTACCTAGAGGGGTGTATGCCCAAGCGTTTTGAATGTAATTCCAGGGTGGAGGTTCTTAGGAGACTGTCCGTGGAGCGTTATTGTAATAACATATTCTAGATTAACTGAGTCTTTAGGGTACGTCTTGATTTATATCAGATGACATGCATTATTGTAGATATTTTTTGTATTCAATCGTAACTCTATTTTGATTTAAATACATTGTATTTATTTTAGATGATTTAGAGACACTCTGTATTATGTAAACTCATATTATTATGTTTTATTTCATTTTATCTCGGATAGATTTTTTATGATGTTTTATAATTGATTTAAAAAGAAAAATTTTGGTTAATCACTTTAGTAGTCTCGTGTAACACTTTAATTTCGGTATTTGAGTCGGATTAGATTAGGTGTTAAAAAAAAGTGTATATATTGCTTTTTTTCTTGCATAACAGCCTTTCCATTTGCACAGGAACCAGATAATTGGTAAAATGGCAAACAGTTCATACTTTAAACTCTACCTGAAATTGCTAAGAATCGTCATTGCGAAATACATTCATTTGTGTGAAGTTCAATTCAATTTGATGAAGTCGGAGTACTCAATAACTCGACACGGTGATTTATAAGTGATTAAAAGTTCGCATTACAGGTTTAAAGAATAGCTGTAAGATCATTCACCTCATCCCTCCAATAGAAGCTGGGCTAATACTGGAGTTTAACTAACCTTCCATTACATATAATGTTTCTACGGGGTCCTAGTTTCACCGGATTGAGCTTCGGTTATATCGGATACCGACAAGGTTCCGGACTGGTCAACATCGAGATCCTCGAATTCCTCCAAGATAAGTGAAATATCATTTTGGCAAATCTTCCCCATTTCTTTAAGTTTGAATAGAACAAACTCTGCAGCTCTACAAAAATAAAGCAAAGAAAACGGGTTGATGTCAATCACGCGGCTAACAGATCGAGCTGATAAAAAGAAAGCATCAAGTTAATAATCTGCAAAGTATTTACCCAACGACTCCATCGCCATCAATATCAGCAGCCTCCAAATCTACATGTGTCGTTTTTCGAGTAAGAACCCATTTCACCAGTGCTCTTTGTCTGTTCTCTGTATTTACCTCGGCGGTGTAGAGAAAGAACTGAGCCAAGCATATAGTGCCAGCTAATATCCAAAACACAGCAAAAATGCGTCCCCCTTCAGTTGAAAAGCTTTTATCTCCATATCCCAAGGTTGTAATTGTAGAACAAACACAGTAAAAAGCGTCGATAAGGTCCAAGTTCTCGACTTTATGTAGGAAGACGATCCCGGTTAATATAAGCACAAGAAGAAGGATCAATGTTGTATAAAACTTGTATTTCACACGTTTAGTCTCGATCTCCTTTAGAACCTCAAATTCACCAGCTTTTTTATACATGTTTAAGGCTTTAATCAGCAATATCTCTTGCTTCTCCGCCAAGTAGTCAGCAGCTTTGCTAAGTACAAGTCCGATTAGAGCCATTCCTGTGAAGACGAAAGCACAGGCTAGCAGTTTCGCGAGGTTGCTGTTAGGAACGAGGTCACCATATCCGACGGTGGTCATCGTAACGACACAGAAATAAACAGCATCAAGAATTCCATTAGTTTTATCTCCTCTGATTTGGTTCCCGATTGCATAAAAGCAAAGGGTGCCTATACCCAAGTATAATGTCAAAACTAGGGGTACCTTCTTGATATTTATGTTAAGTCTCCCGAAAATGGATTCGGAACGCGGAAGTGCTTCTTCTCCATTAGTATCAGTCGGACCAAAATCCACAAATGGAGCACTTCGAACACGTCGAAGCCGCCTTCTCCTCTTTGGTACATCCCCGTTACTTCTTCGAGTTTTCGGAGCTGCTACTTCTGATAGCAAAGGCTGGTTTGCATCATTACAGGCCATTAGGAAGATTCAGCAGACATAAATCACTACCAGGAACCCTGAAATTATCAGAAAATTAGACTTAAAAGTAACCAAGATGGTACAGATAGCATTCTTCTTACATTAAGTGGTCAGTGTCAACCAAACCCATGGTGCAAAGGTCTCTTTGAACTGCCGATTATCATGTGATCTCTTCCTATTTTTGCTTCAATGGTGAAGTAAATCTACTCAACCACCACAATTTAAAGTCCCTTTAAATTACATTAAATTCATCCCATTTTGATGCTCTTTGATCCAAATCTGAAAATTTTCACTCTTTAAAATCCCAAGAATAAAGATGTACTCCAAAACAAGTAACTTAAAGCTCATATTTTTCATACAAAACTGGTTCTGCCATGAAAGTTTATGACAAAGCTGAGATCCCAAAGCTGAAACTAATAGAAACAAAGATCTAGCAGGAAAATGAGATATTTCTGGAGACATACCTTGCAAAACTGGGTTTTTTTGGAGAAGCTTTTGGAATATGTTAGAAGATCCAAAGCAGATACAGTTGACTGTTGAATTGTTTGATTGTTCTTGTCAATTTCTATTTTATAGCTGAAACTTGGCATATAGACCACCATTGATTGAGATTGGAAGGGATATATTATATTAATACAAAATGTGGAGGTATGGTCCACTTTGTGAACATAAATTAAAATATAAGAAGCAATAATTTAACTTTAGACGCTGATAATGATATATGATAATATAATAAAATAATACATGTTGAATGACTCTTGATGATTTGATAATCAATATAATAAATTTCAAATAATAATAATAATAATAATAATAATAATAATAATAGTCTCTTAATTATTAAAACTGATTAATTAGTGATCATCATAATTTTTTAAGTATATGGTCTACCATCAAATAGCATTTACTGTTCACTTCTTCACCTATTTATCTTCATTCTCCAATCTCCATC